CTGAACTTGAGGAGTAAGAAAGGGAGAAGATACAGGTTGAGTAAAGCAATAGGAGGCGTGATTAGTCTAGATTGCTGTCTTGATTGGATTTTGGCTCTGTTATTAATGTGGCCTTTAGTACAAAAAACATCTTAGGGAGAGGAAGATGTGGAGAACAGCAAAACAGAAGGAGATGTTCAGAACGTTCGGTTTTACCTGGTTAACCTTCCCATTAACAAATAGGCGTTTGGGCATGTCTGCCTAGTTAAAAATTAACATTAGATGTACTCTAGCAGGCTTCAGCTCTGGCACAAAAAACCAGGAGCCAGCTGAAAAGGTTTGTAATTGGGCCAAATATCTAATGTCACCAGGGTTTATGGGAGGTTTAGATCTAACAGGAAGTGTGAGCTTTGCCACCTAGGTTGTTTTGTTTCCTAAGACCTTTACATCTCAAGAGAAAACAAGATATTTTATATCAGTAACCTACATGTTTCACTTAAAAGGTGTAAGGGGTACAGTGGTCAGCCCTGGTATCTCTTCTCTTTGAGCTCAGGAAAGCAAATGAGTCTGTCTCTCCGAAGGGCTGCTGGTGCTGGGAGCACTTAGTGAGCATTGCACCACCTTCGCTCCCTTGTCTGTCAGTGTGTTCTGGGGACCACCATGGCCAAGGGGCTTTGAAATAAAAGTCTTGTAGCAGTCTGCTGAACTGTGTTGATAGAAGCCTTGTAGATGTAGTCCAGCCCAGGGAAAGTACTGGCAGCGTCTGTTATTGTCCTTCATTTGTCACAGAAGCTGATGGGAAATCATTCAATTAAAAGGAGTGCAGTGGAATACACAAAATCTCAATATGAGTTTAGGAGAATGAGGGCAGCACATCAAAGGCATGCCAAAGCCCAGCTTTGTGAAGTGATTTTTTTTTTTTTTTTCATTTCCACTGATTTCCTAGGTGAAATTAGGTGACTGTCTGGCTAGCATAATGATGATAAGGCTGGGAAACCATACGTACTCAAATGACATACATATAGTTTTAATAAAGGATGAGGGAGACTTGAGGGAGTGCATTAAATTGAGTAATAATTTATTATTTAGAGACCTCTACCCATTTACTCATTTTTTCTGGGAGAATTGGCTCTTCCTCCAAGGTGTAGGCCACTTTTAGAGAGGGGGGAGAAGGTAGAAGCTGGTGCCTCTGCTGCAGTAGCTAGCTGGCAAAGCCAACTTCAGCGACTGCCTGCAGCCAAGTGCACCGGCTACCTATCCTGTTGTTGAGCTGCTCAATAAACATGCTGGGAGAGGGAGAAGGGGGAGAGTTGACAGGGCCTTGCATATCCTATAGGAATGCACTGCAATTATTTCCAATCACAATTAACCTGATTAGAATAATGGACAGGAAGTGTCCCTCTGTAGCTAATGCAGTTTGGCATCAGCTGACTGAAATCCTTTGATAATTTCTGCACAGATGGCTGGGCTGAAAGCAGCACTTTTTTAATTATTATTTTCATGGTCTCTTGGTAGGCCAAAACCTCGACACCAACAGCAGACCTCCCCATTAAGGCGGACGGCGCCAACGTCAACATCACAGCTGCCATTTATGACGAGATCCAACAGGAGATGAAAAGGGCCAAGGTGTCTCAAGCTCTGTTTGCCAAAGTGGCTGCCAATAAAAGTCAGGTGAGTGGTAGAGGGGATTTTGTTGTTGCGGGGCTTTTTGGGGTTCTGTTTTTAAAGCAAACTCTGGGGTTGGAACTAGACCTATCTCCTCCTCCCACCAATAAAAATACATCTGTTCCTACAATAATAATAATCTTCATCTCTGGGGAACCTGTCGTGTTTTTGGCTTTTGCCTGCTTAAGTGGTTTCCTTTTCCTTTTTAAAATAGGCTGAGGAAAGGATCAACTCACAGCCAAGCTTTTTCTCCCCTTTTGTACAAACATGCATGTCTTTTCCCACTTGTGGTACTTAACGCCTCTGCCAGTGGGACAAGGACCTTTCAAAATAAGGGTATCCTTCTCATTTGGCAGGTAAAGAAATTGTTTTCTTATGTGATTAACTGAGGGAAGGCAATGGGAAACCACATATTAGGCACGCGTTTCCTTTTTTTTTTTACGTGTTATATGTGCTGCATACGGTATTGCCATTGAATAATTCACATCAGATCAAATCATTTTTACAAAAAAGACGTGAGAGGGCACTGCAGTGAGTTCTCCTGGATTAATTTCCACCTTAGGTGTAAAAAATACATGCGGCCAAACCTAGATAGGGGTGAAATTCTTGAAAAGAATCCATTAATTTAAAAGTTTCATCCAACTCTTTAAAAAAATATAATGCACCAGAAGGGATTTTGTGGAAAGGAGGACAGACAGAATTTTTTGTAGGAAGGGCAGCAAGTGGATGGGAGGCTGTTGGAAGGGATTGTTTACTTGTTTGTGAAAAGGGCTGCTTCTGATCCTAGATGAAATTACTCAGTTGTGCTAGGAGAGGGCATCAGTATGCACACAAAAATGCACAAATGTGTCTGTGACAATGAGAGAGTGGGATAGAAGTATCTAGATGCAGGCACTCTGCAAAATACATACTTTCTTTTCCTCTGTGCCGAGAAACATCGTAGTCATTAAAGTAGATGTAAAATAAGAGGTTGAAGGGCATATAAACAAAGCATCAAAGGCTATCAAAGCACATTGGAGAGCCTTGTCCTTGTTACAGGTATTTGTGTCGTGACACATAGAGGGCTGATTCATTTTTCTTTCCTCATTTAATCATTAATTTTCTTTGCCTTTTGCTTTCTCTTGTCAGTGTACAGGGGTTACAGTCCACAACCCTTCTACGCCCCAACAAAATCCCAGGCACAGTATGAAATACATAAAAGGAAAATACCATGGAACCCTCTTAAACTGTTAAATGCATAAAAATCTCATGTACCACATGGCAAAATATAATGAGAACTGGAGCTGTTAAACGAATAAAGCTGTTAAAAGCATAATGCCACTTGGCACAACTACTGTGCATTTAACGGTTTTCCACTGTGTAATAAATGACATATGTGGTAAACGTGCAGTAAATATAAAAACTGCACAATTGATTTTGCAAACGTGCCCCTTATTCTTTACTCCATGCAGATATCAAAGTTCCACCCAGAATCCGGACTGGACAGCTTTTAATAAGGAGCGTTTAACACAGACTTGAATGCCAGCCTCTCTGAGGTTTGGCTTAAAATTGCCTGCAAGCTTCCTGTCATTATACCCAGAGGCTTCTTGAAATAGAGAGGGACTGAACCACCCAACAATAATTTGGGTGGCTCACCAGCTTCGATCTGTGCCAGCTTGAGTGTGCTTCTCTGGCAGCATTGCGCACCAGCACCAAAACAAAAATAAGCTCCTTAGTCTTTCACGTGGAGAAAGAACAGTGCAGGTTTTGAAAGCCAGATACAAAAGGTTAAGAACAGGATCCACAAATGTTATTGTTTAAATCAAAGTTACTGCACATAGAAGTTCTGTTTCTTCAGCAGCAGCAAATAAAGAAGTGTTTCTGGGGCTGATGTTTCTTTTGTTTCACAGCCCTGCCAAAGCAATACTGGCTCCCTGGGATGACCCAGCATTCGCCATGCTGAGATGTCATAGCGCTCTGCTGGAGCATGAAAGTGGTTTATGGGGGCACTAGAAGACAGGAACAGAGAAGCTGTAGCCAAGAACCATAGCGGCATGGGGCCTCCCACTGCCCCAAAGCCCACCTGTGTGCCTGCCCCCGGCCTGGCTTGACATGCCTGTGGTGTCCCACCGCTGGCTGGGGTGCCTTGTGGCCAGGAGGACTGCCAGAAGCAAGGACACAGCTGCTTGTGTAGGGGAGAACCACTGGCATGGTGGGGTGGTTGGTGTGTTGCCTTAGGTCTAGCTTGTCTAAAAACTAGTGATGGGGCTTTCCCAGTGCTTTGTGCAGGCCAGTTGCACCAGTCATGGGCACTTCTGGTGAAGATGCTGCTGATTTCAGCAGCTGAGTTACATGGTGGGAAGCGTTCATTGAAAACTGCCTATGTTTGCAGAAGAGTGAGTTTGAAAGAGGAGAAAAAAGAGCTAGTCTGAGGGTTTGCTTGGACTCTCCGCCAAGGTTCGTTCACTTGCTGTTCTCCACAGGCCTGGCTTGCATTGGCTTCCTCTATTATTCCCTCACCCCAGACTACTGAGAGGCTTCCAGTTTGCTAACAAGGCATGTGTTATGTTGGGCGCTGCTGTTCTGTCAACAGCAATCCACGGTGCTGTGAGATCTTCACAGTTTTAGCAGCCAGTGAATCTCCGACAGGGCTGTTTTGACATTTTACACACAGGGCTGTACGTCATGTACCCTAGAGAGCATCCAGAGCCAATGGAGGCCTCATTTCAGCTTCTGTCTTCGTACAGGAAGAGTGGTACCCACTGAGAGTAGTTATTGCAAGTGGCATCATCTACTGGTGGAGTTAATTGACCTCTAATTTAACAAGTGGTCATCTTTATTCTTAAATCATGTCAGAGTCTCAGTTTAGCAACTAAAGGGAAGGGCAGCTGCTAGAAACTCAGGTTACAGATCACAGAGCTCACAAGTCAACATAAATGCAAGGAACAGGGCTTCATGGAGGTACTAAGGTAGTATGGTGAGACTTCCTTAAGGGAATTCACCTTTATAAAGATCTCAAGCCATTCATTTTAGACATTGACTTACTCATTACTTATTTACCTTAATATGCATTTTATTCCTTGCAACTTATACCTAGACATTTTTAGTCTTATTTGTGAAGTGCTGTGCATCTCTTTGTATTTTTGAAGGCAGCAGGAGCTGAGGGGCTCAGTGCCCTTCCAAAGCTGTCATCCTATTTCAGTTGCTAGCTGGTAGTGATGAACCTGCTGGACAGCATGCTTGTCTGGGGATGCCGCCTGCTAGTGCCCTTTGTCCTTTGAGTGGCTAAACCTGGGACATGTATTACCACATTGGAAGTGTTTCTGAGTGTGGCTGGAACACCACGATTTAGTTTCCAGTCCGTGCTTTGGGCTGTCCTGGTTATATTTAATTTGCAAGGAAATAGGTTTCCGGTGTGGCATTTCAGAGAGGTTTGGGTGGCCTGTGTGTCTGCAGAGCTGGGCAGTGGGACAGGCGAAGACTTTGACCTTGGGTTGCTGCAGGTTTGGACTGTTGGTTGTGAAAACTGGCTTCTACATCCAGTTCTGAAACTGCTCTACAGTACGACTTCAGGAAAACCATTTCACCCATGACCATGTGTCAGTGCTTCTGTAATACTGTGCAGCAGCATCACCCCTCTGACTTCTGCTAGTGAGAGTCCTAGCAGGGGCTGTGCTGTGCTCAGCAGACCTTTTTTTTGTTGTCTTGGTCTGTGTGAAATGAGTTTAGGAATATAGTTCTGTTTGTAATAAACAGTCACTATCAAAATAAATAGTGGGCATAGCTGGCTGGAGCCCTTGTTGACAGTCTGAGGGAGGGCAAAGTTTGTGTGAACATGGAGACTGAACTTCCCACAGTTCTCCCAGGGCAAGAGACTCTGCTTAGTCAGGCTCGGGCAACGTGGGGAAGCGAGGCGTGTGCTGCTGGGCATCTGCCCCAGGCAGGGCAAATGGAAGGGTTTGACCTTCACCAGTCCAGTGAAAACAAGAAGTAAACCCTTGAAACTGAAATTCTTCCTCAAGAGACTGGAGTTTGTTCCAGCTGCACCACAGTAAAGCAAGAGACCCCATGGAGCAACATTTGAAAAAACGTTAAGCTGGCAAAGCTCAATCTCTGGTTCGTATCTTTGCCCTGTTTAAAAATGAACAAACAAAAAATATATTTGACCAGGAGGGTTGAGGCTGGGGGCAGAAAAGCCTTTCAGTTGAGGTCCTTCAGGCTAAGAGAAACCCAGGGCTATGCATGGGAATCACTATGACAGTTACTTGCCTTTCTTCTGGCTTTTCGTGTTGAGATCACTGCCTCATTGACACGATTGTCTGGGAGCCTGTTCTCTGGCCAGGGGGCATGTTAGTCTTACAGTAGGAGTCCATGCTAGATGGGTCTCAGCACCATGGCCACCTGCTCATGCCCTCACCTCCTGCCCATGCTCTGAGAAGAAAATAGAGGTACTGCGAGAGGGATGAGCAGCATCACTGTCGGGGAGGGTTAGCCCTAGAAACTCTTATTTTGTCCTTCCCTCTCTTTCCTTCCCAACTTACATTCCCTTGTATTCATTTGATACGATGGAATGCCTTCTCTCCCCTGTTTAGCTTATAATAGGTATTTTCTGTGCTTCCAGTGATGACGAACAACAGCTAGAAAGAACAGCTGGTGCTGAAGATGTGTAGCATATATAGGGTATGTGTATAGGGCACTTCTTACTGCTGTAGCATCTCGGTGAATTTATGGTAATGTGAATCTCCACAGCTGGAGCATATCTGTGGCGCTGGTATTTTGATGTTCTTGTTACATATGGAGGAAATACAGAAAGACATTTCTCTCCTTGACTGAACTTAAAATTGCTTTGAAGTACCTTTGGACATTACCTTATTTTTTACAGACTTCTATATGCAGTCACCCTCATGCAGAACAGCATCTGCAGCAGTACATCAGCCTCTCAGCAGCTGAGTGAAGCAGGGACAGTTGTGGAGCTGGGGCTTTGCTCAGGAAGTCCTTGGCAGACCTGGGAGCTGATGGCGGGCTGC